TCTTCCTGTGCCCAATGTTGCTCAGAGCAGTGCCATCCATCAGGAGGCAGATGTGCTGTTGTGCCTGAGACTTGGAGCCCTTGTCCTTGGGTAGGAGTGGGTGGTGGAGATGAGATGTTGGGTTCAGATGGAGGCAGAAGGGCCTGAAGGCTGATCGCAGGCCCCTGGGCTGGTCTTCCCTAGCGGTGACCATCCTCCACATTAACATCAGAGTTTCCTATAAATATTTTATTCCTATATTTGCCACACCTTGAAAAAAGATTGAAAAGCACTAAAGTAGGAAACCACTTCATTTTATTCTTCCTCTTCCTTATAGTCTATTTGACTTTTCTTTAAAATAGTTCTTGAACTATCTTCCCAGTTGCAGTTGACAGATGTTGGCCGACCAAGACACCCTGAGATAAATTTTTTCCTCCGGAGGTTTCTTTCAGTCTGTCATACAAAAGAACAACATTGCCAATGGGTTGGAATTTCCAGGAAGGAAAAGTTTGGTCTGATGCCATGAAGAAAAGAAGATTGTAATTGCTAAGAGCTGGCCCGTGATAAAGCAGGCTGCCACAAAAGCCCTGCATACGCTATTGCAAAAGAGAAAATCAATGTGGGAAGATCATCCACGGGGCATTGTTGAAATGGTTGCACATGGTTGGGAAGATGGACGTGTGACCTCTAAGGGGCCCTGCTCGGTATTCATCTGAACAGTCATCGGAGATGGGTGTGGGTACAGAATGCAATTGGTTCAGACTGCGAGGTGGGAAAGATTTGGCTTTTACTTTCCAGGAATTTTAAATAGGAGGTTTAAATTATATTGGCTTTTCTTGCACATAAAGACTGCTAAATTTAAACAGTTTGCCATTTAAGAGCTGGGTGATAGGAGATGACTTTAGAAGCTATGAAACCCAAAGAGTTAGGTCTCTCTAATCAGGAACAAAGGGAAGGAACTTTTCACAGATGTTTGGAAAGTCTGGACCAAGGGATTTGTCTCCTTCAGTCAATAGCTTAGAGTGCTTGTATTTTAATCTTTATTTCTGTTCTCTCTCTCTGTCGTATGTATTTAAGGAATGTCTTGCTAGCTCACTTTCTGATGATACTTTGCTTATACTTCTGTAACATCACTTATCACATTGAGTTTTAATTTGTTTACTTTTCCATATTTCCCACCTCCGATCCCTAGCATAAATCCTGAGGCATAAGTTGGCCCTTGACAAATGTTTATTAGAATGGTGTGAATAAATCAATTCTGGAAGAACAGAAGGAACTCTGTCTGATAAATAGTGCATCATACGACCATCTTCCTAAATGAGATCCGTAGACAGAATTTACTACTGTATTTCTCCCTGTTCTTTGAAGGATAGAGTTTCTTGCTTTTTCTAGGAGATTGAATTAGGAAAGAGAAATGGATTGGAACCAATTTTTGGTTTCAACTTATTTGCATAATGTAATCCAGTGTCTGGCTGGGGTCACCCTGATCCTTATGAGCTAGGTAAGACCAGCACAATCGCCCTCTTTTGGATAAAGTGTAGGGTGAGAAAACCTGAAATTGGCCAGGTCATCTTCCCATCCCCCTCCTAAGATTTTTCAGCTGTAAAATCAGGTATATGGTGGTATTATCCTTCATAGTACTGAGGAGAGGATGACAATTATGATTATGATTGTTTGTAAAAGTATTACAATTAGGATTCAACACAAGTCATTTTGAAGGACAAAGATTAGAATTTGCAACTTATTATTTTCTAGCTGCCATTTATCTGAGGCAGAAGAAGTTCTTCCCTGGGCACAGTCCCCAAAGCATAGCTTTCTAGACCATTTTGTTGTTGTGATTTGAACTTTTTTGTTGGGTCTTTGCTAGTTTTTTCTGAAACTCTTTCCCAGGATGTAATTCTTTTTTGAAAGGTGATTGCGAGGCACTAGCGATAAGGGCTGGTTCGGGATGATTTCTCCATGTCTTAGTCACTGAGTTTTAACAAAGAGAAAAATCATCAGAAAAGTTATTTTACTTTGAAAAATCAGGGAGTGTCGGAGTCACTCTACTAAACAGGATTTCATTTTATTTTTGATTTTATTTATAATATTAGAGCCAGTTTACACATTGTCTCCTAACCTGCCTTCCTGATGTCTGTATGTATCAGCTTCCAAGGATGAACATTTTCTGTGGTTGGCTTCCTAGATTATGGAAGACTTTAGCCACAGAAAGGAATCTCTGTAGTGAGATAGAATCTTCTAGAATCATTTGATAAAATATTGCTTGATTTATTTCAACCTGGCATCTTTATGGTCTTAGGATTCCCAGCCTGGAAGTGAAGGGAAGCACTGGCCTTGTTTTCCTGTCTGTAGACCAGGTCATCTCCTATCTAGATTACATGATAGGACCCCACCCAGCTGAAGTATCAAAGTGTTTAAGCAACTCAACAGGGAAGGGGGGAGCCTTCTTCTTAGCATCCATCCAAGTTGTCAATTTACAGAAGCCTTGTCCGGGAGCCATCACTTCTGTTTGTGTCTGAGCCATTTCTGACTCTGAGATGTTCTCCGCTCAGACTTCAGAAGTGTTATACCCTCAATGTGGTGTTACTTTCTTTTTAAAAAAATCAAATGTCTACTCTTATTTTTAATATTCAGGCAGATATTTGTGGCCTAGAGAAAATTCTCTGGGGAAGAGAGTGCCCCCCACCATCCACCTTGCCTCATCAGTATTCATTTTTCTGGCTAAGCAGATTCAGTGACAAATGAAGAAAAAAGAGGGAGGAGCTGCTGGGAAGGTGGGAATCGGGACAGTGCCACAGGCTCCTTGAGTGATGGGACTTTTCTGACCCTTTCCTAGCATGTCATGTTGTAATGTCTTGACCTGTTTGCTTTTCTGTCTGAGTGACCTGATTAAGCACTGGAGGGCAGGAATCATGCCTCACTCACCTTGTTTCTCCAGGGCCAACCATAGCCAGCAGCTGGTTTTCTCCAAAGTATGATAATTCAACTCCCATGCAGGGATGAATGACATTACCAGAAGAGAATATGGTAGCTGGAATGGTGGCCCCCTCAAAAAGATGTGTTTACATCCCAATCTTCAGAACCTGTGAATGTGGCCTCATTGGAGGGTGAGGGGGAGAAAATAAGAGGTCTTTGCAAATGTAATTAAGTTAAGGATCTCAAGATGAGATTACCCTGGATTATCTGAGTGGGCCCGGAATCTAATGACAAGTGTCCTTGAAGAGACAGAAGAGGGCAAGGCCATGTGGAGATGGAGGCAGAGGTTGAAATGGTGCAGCCACAGCCTAGGAACACCCCACCCTCCAGAGCCTTCTGAGGGGGCAAGGCACTGCTGAAGCCTTGATTTTGAACTGTGAGAGAGTTTTAAACTCCCAAGTGTATGGTAATTTGTTACAGCAGCCACAGAAAGCTAACACAGGTGTTAACCTGCCTTCAAGAAAAGCCATTAAAACTGACATGCAGAGCTTGGCTTACATCATTGGAAAGCAGAGACCACAGCACGGCCAGGTGAAAGATTCCTGTTGGCAGAGCCCTGGGACGAGGTGGCAAGAGAGGCCAGGAGGGGCAGATCTTGATTTCCAGGGGCCTTGAAGAGCTGAGAGAAGTTTCCACAAGACTGAAGAGTTGCAGCAGCAGGAGTTTGTAGTTTACCATGACTGCACAAGTGAGACCTGGAGGGCGTTACTGCAGTATGTACTGAAGTTGACCAGAAATACTCCAAGGCTTTGCCCGTGGGAAAGAGAAGTACCTCAGAGGAGAAAGTGGGGTGTGGGTGTGGGAAGGATGCTCATTTCTCTAAGCCAGGCCTTTGAGAAATCATCTTTTGCCAGGACCAAGGGCTGAAAAGAAGGATCTGGACAAGGAAGGTTTTCCTCGCAAGTAAGCAATAACAACAAACCAGTTTGGCCCATCTATTGCTGGGGTGTCCTCAGCTTCTCCCAAGACCCCAGTGCCTCACAGGGACTCAGCCTTCATGCTCATAGATGGAGGGGCCCTGATGGCACTTTAGGAGCCAAGCATCCTTTCTCAGAGATGAGAGTGGCTCACAGCAAGGGAATGTCAGAGATGTCTCGCCAGGGCCAGGGCCAGAGGGGCAAGCTGTTTCCTGTTACAGACAGATAGACACGAGGCCCTGGAACTTTGGGCAGTACAGTGGCTGGCCGTGCACTGGACAGACTGTCAGCAGACCTGGGCTGTTGTTGCTCAGGCTCCCCTATGTAAGAGTTGAATTGCTCTGCAGGAGTAACTTACCTTCCTTGCCTTTACTGTGCGAAAGCTCGCACAACGTCAAGCTCTCTGTAACCCTAAGATTCTGTAATTACTGACTAGCTATTAAATGAAATGGAGTCAGCCTGTGGAAGAATCTTCTTGCTAAGTCACCTGAAACAACAGGGAATGTTTTGGGAAATAGAATGGCCCCCGTCTCCACAAACAAAAACAAAACAAAATAAAGTGAAGTATAAAATAAAATAAATATGATAGGACATACAGGAAAGTATGTTCCTGAAAAAAGAGTCCTGATTGATTGTAGTATGGGTAGTCAGTGAATGAATGACTGGGTCAGGGTTGATTCCCCTTTTTACCAAAAACATAATGTAACATAATATAGCACAATATGAGATGCCATGGGAAGTAGAACTTTAAGAAAAGGGCTACGTGTCCATAACCTGGCGCAGCATGGGCAGTCAGAGAAGGAATGTTGAAGAAATGTATGGGTGAGGGATTTAAAAGGATTCTCTTTTAAAAAGTAAGGAATCCAGCAGGTGCAGAGGCTCACGCCTGTAATCCCAGCACTTCGGGAGGCCGAGGTGGGAGGATTGCTTGAACTCAGGAGTTTGAGACCAGCCTGATCAGGAGTGAGACCCCATATCTACTAAAAATAGAAAAATTAGCCAGGTATGGTGGCCAGTGCCTATAGTCCCAACTACTCAGGAGGCTGAGGCAGGAGGACTCCTTGAGCCCAAGAGTTTGAGGTTATACCACAGCACTCTAGCCCAGGGAACAGAACAAGACTCTGTTTCAAAAAAAAGAAATGCATTATGAATTTGGGTTTCATCCTTGCACAGTGAACATGCTTATATTCTCTGTATCATTCTAGTTTCAGTATCTGCACTGCCAAAGAGAGCAGGCAAAGGTTTTAAGTATTTTTTTTTTTTTTTTGAGACAGGGTCTCACTTTGTCCCCCGGGTAAAGTGTTCTGGCATCACGGCTCACTGCAACCTCAAAGTCTTGGGCTTAAGTGATTCTCTTGCCTCAGCAGCCTCCCCAGTAGCTGGGACTACAGGCACCTGCCACAGCACCAAAGTGTTTTTAGAGATGGGGTCTCCCTCTTGCTTAGGCTGGTCTCAAACTCCTGAGCTCCAGGGATCCATCTGCCTTACCCTCCCACAGTGATTTTTAAGTATTTTTATTAAATACTACCTATCCCAAGTCTCATTTCAGCCACTTTTTCGTATGATGATGAGATTTCTTTTGTTCAGCTGTGTCTTGTATGTGAGACCCATATCAACTCTTCCTTCTTTGTCCCCCAATCAGCTAAGGCAGCCTTTGGCACAGCAGTGGTCAGTGTGTGTTGGTGGATCCACTGAGCATGGATTTCCTTCACCTGGGCTGTGGACTATGCAGAAAACCAGAGGTGAAGGGCTGGCTTGAATCTATTTAAGGATCATTGTGTTGTACTCTTCAGTGTTTTCCACCTTCTTTTCTTGGCCTACCACATCATCTGACCTTATTATTCTTATCTTGCTTTGTCATTTTTCAAAGGAATTGAGAGTGACAAATTGCTTTCAAACTGTCCTTATTTCTGGTGTAAAAGATCTTTAATCCACCTGTAAGAACAAGCAAAAATTGTGACACTATGCACCTTGTAATGGAGATTACCAGCACTCTCATAAAATGAAAAAGTTGTAAGACAGGGAAATCTCAAAACAATGGCAAGAGGCCAGGCCAGGTAGCAGTGAACACTGATGTCCACCTGGCCTGAAGTGTGCTGGTGCCTGGCAGAAGCTGACTTGGAGCAAGCCTGCTGTGCTTTGATGGTAGTCAGTGTTATTTCCATGTAAAATTCTCAACAGGCCATTTAACCAACTCTGTAACTATCCTGACACTGGAGTCTGATTACAGAGATACTAGAGATGAGTTCTTTTATTCATTAGCTTATACATTTCAGCATACATTTGGATTTGAATTAAAATGCAAATATGAACTTATAACATTGACCTTAAGTAAATACTCATTTATTTAATTCATACTAAAGTGTAAATGACTGATATAAATCCTATTCTCCTATTCTTAAAAAACCCTAAACCCTATTTGTAAAAGTGTGTTTTAAGTAATGGTATAAGGGAAAAAACCACAAGGCAAAATAGAAAAAGCAATGGGAACTACAAGTGTGGCAAGGACATGGGAAGCAGGGTAAAGACATGACAAGTAGAGAATGAACTTTCCATGGATAAAATTCTTCTTTAATTCCTGCTTTTTTCCTAAGGTCAGACAGAAACCAGTGGTATAGCATTCAATTTCAGAAAATGTCATGGTCTCCTTGCTTTATGACCCAGGCAAATTTTCAAAACCAGAACACTACTTCTGCAAAAAATCAGATAAAGCTGCTGAAGCAAATCTCAGGGTCTCAAGGGATTTTATGAAATTAAAACAATTTTCTCTCTTTACGTCATGCATTATTTTCATGAATATAAAACACACCTTCACTGTAGAACATTTAGATATCACAGCAAAGTATAAAGAAGAAAGTCCATCCTCAATTCCACCATCTTTAATATCATAGTGCATTATTTATTTTAAGCTTAAAGGGAGTTTTCAGGACTGCATCCATGGCGATTTAAACTGAAGAGACTGCAAAGCCACTACAGCAAAACAGAAGCAGGGACTGGATGTGTTATGTCAGCAGAACTTGGGACCAATTTTCTGGGGGAAAAATAAAAGCACACTGTATGCATTCAATGAGGCGTATATGTGTATGTAAGGCAGGGGGCTTGGCACGTTCAGTTACGTGTTTTTCCATCCTATATTCTTAGGAAGTAGGTTACCTGATGAGACCATTTGCCACTTCCAAATCAGAGCTGATTCTTAAATTAGTTGAAGATTGGGTAACACAGATCAGAGAAAACTGTGTGTGTGTGTGAGTGATGTTTGAGTGTGTGCATGTGTTTGTGTATGTTCTTGTACCTGCTTATGCTCAAATAACCACATTGGCAGTGGGGTGGGATGGGAAAAGCTTTTCTTCTGATTGCACCCTGTTCCCATCTCTGTGGCTTACAAATAAAGCCATTCTTTACAAACTAAGTCAGGTTTGGGAGGAGTTTTTCCCAAGCCCCAGAGAAATAAGAGGATGGTTGGGTGTGCCCACTGCAGGGACAACCCAGGATCTAGGCAAGGCCTCTTTTCCCTACAGGTTTCAGAAAGGGGCTGACAATGATAATAAATATCATTTCCTGACACGGAGTCGTGGGGCTGGTCAGGCCACAGGAGTTGTGGGTCCCCAGGATGCAGGGGCCGCTCACAAAGCAGGCATTTATGAATTGGTTGGCTTTGCATTAATTAATTCCCTAGCCATTCACCAACAGTAACAATCCTTTCAATGAGAATCCCGACCCTGGAAAGCCTTGGTGTTGATTGGAAGTGACATGTGCATAGCAAAGTGTGACTGTGTTAATATGGAACAGCGCAAAAGGACCCAAAGTCCCTCTCCTGCCCTGCGCCTTCCTTCCTAGGGAGCTTATGAGGAAGAAAGAAGCCTGGGCTCCTTTAGGAGTATTTAGTTTGTGTTTTCCTCTTTCGTGGTTGGTTTGTCAGCTGCCGTTTTCTCATCTGCTACTTCCTCGGGGATGAGTTAGTTATGATGTAATGAGTTCTGACACGAGTCCATGGAGCACTGAGGGGACCTCAAACCACTAAGAACCCCAACAGGTCATGGGGGGCTGACCGGCCAGGGCTGAAACACTTAGGCATACACAGGGGAAGCCCAGCAAAACCTGGCACCTTCTCTTAGATGAATTTGCGGGCCAACACGAGACTTGGAGTTCCCCATGTCTCAGGATGGTAAAAGCTGAAGAGGTAGAAAAATGCAGACATGGAGCTGATTGTCAACTCCAGAAGGCCGGAGACACATCTCTTCTTTCACATGTGGCTCTGTGCTAACGCACTTCCCAGGCTCTAAATGAATGTTTGATGCCGGCTGACTGGTGGGTGGAGTCGATAATTGCTCCTGCAATCCTCCAAGCTCTTTAACTGCCCGGATTGCCTAGTTATTCAGTCTCTTTGATTTCTAGTTCTCTCCTACCTCGCAAGTATCTGCGATCATTGGTGGCACAGAGGGTGTGCGTGGGTGCGTCGCGAGAGTGAGGTGGGCCTTCTCCCAGGTCCCTTTCCTTGAACTACAGAAGGCTGGGCTGGTGCCCACCACACAGATCTATTTCAGGTGTACGCTACTTGCATAACACATTCAGTCTAGTATTTCTTAGTTGATACTGTCATTTGGAAGTCTGTGTGTGTGTGTGCATGTTTGCTTGTACGTTTAGGAAGTAGACTTAAAAGACTTCCCCCTTTTCTAGGTATGCACTATGCTAAAATGAGGGTAAAACAAGTGAGGGACTTAGAGCGCAAAATTAAAGCAATGAAGAAAGAGTTTCTTCTTAACACTATGCTAAAACACATTCGCAGATTACTGTAAGGCAGAATTCAGACAGGTTAGTATCTAAAGAGACTTACAAATATGGTTGATGGGGGTGCCAAGGGCAGCACGGACCTGCTGCCTGTTGCATTAGCAAGGGTTTCCTTGTAGGTCCTGGGTTTTATTATGCAAAGGGGGCATCCTCATCTGAGGACAGGGGAAACCACCTGAAGATGTGTGTTCTGGGAAGAGTGACACTTACACTCGGGGGTAAAATATTGATTTAGCCTGGAGAAGTGGGTGGGACTAGTAATTAAGAACTGTGTCAGCCAGGGTGAGATGGTAGCAGCAGTTCTTGAAGACACAGGAATCACCCAGAGCTATTTTATTTGCTGAGGAACAGAAGCAGGGCTGGCATGAGGGTGAAACAAGTGAGGGACTTAGAGCCCAAAATTAAAGGAGATTTACTCTTAGGTGGCCCACCCCACCTTTGTAGAAGCCTGAGAATGAGTCTTCTAATTGTAGTTCTACCTTGGGCTAGGAATGGGGAGAGCAGTGAGTGGCAGTTATGTGATTAGAGCTGTGTGTTTGAAAGATACTGTGACTCACACCTATAATCCCAGCACTTTGGGAGGTTAAGGTGGGAGAATCATTTGAGACCAGCCTGGACAACATAGCAAGACCCTTGTCTATACAAATATAAAATAAATAAAAATAATAAAAAAGAAAGATCACTGTGAAATCTCTGTGTAGGATAGATTGGAAAAAGTGGGCACTGGGTGAGACTGCAAATAGATTTAACACAGACAGAGAAGTCATGGAATCCGAGAGGTGAGGAACAGCAGGGTAAGTGTTCCTTTCAAGGAATCAACATGGAGAGACACAGGCAGTAAAAAGAACGGGGTGACCATCACCACTTCCATGTTGCTAGCACTTATAGAGATACTTCCACCAGCTTCAGCATATTAATTCATTTCATGATGAATGACGAAGGCCCTGGGCCAGGGCCCCAGAGAGCTGAGTTCTAGTCTCACTCTGCTCTAAGGAATTGAGGGAGTCCACAATTTGGCCTCAACTCTTTGACCTGCGAAATGGCTGAGGTTCACCAGACAATTTGAAAGGGCCCCGAGAGCTCTAAAGTCCCTGTAACTCATGACCTATGTTAATATCGCCCAACCTGGAGAAAGAACCCAAGCCTAGGGGGCTCCAATCCAGAGTCATCCAAGAGCTCTCAGACCAGACACCTTGGGAAGTAAACCCCTGAGTCCGGACTCCTGTCTTTCGTTCTGCACTTCTAGCTTTCAGGTCCGCCTTGCAGACTGAGAGTCCGAGCACTCTGATGTTAAATTCTGCCTCTCCCGTCTCATCACCTTTCCCTTCTCCTTCCCTCCTAATGCTGCCCAACATCCCAGCTCACCTTTTCTGCCTCTCCCTCCTGTCATTAACAAAAACTCCCCAGACCCTTGCAAAGCCCCTACAGCAGAATTGCCCCGAGAG